CAACCTAGTGATTCTATGATTCTGTGATTTTTGGTAATAAGTAAATAAATAGTATTCATGATAATAGGAAGAGGTTTGTGAAGGCCACTGGACAGCTCTTTCTTCCTGCTGGGGACTCTTTTTACATGTGTGCTGTGCCTGCCAGAAGGGTAACAAGCCATCTTAGGGCCCAGGAGAGAACTGAGGGCTGCTGTGGAATTGGTCACTGGGGCACAAGTGCTTTTTGCACCTGCTGGTTACGGAGAGGAGGAACTGCGTGTTAGAACGAGGGAAGGCAACTGGGGAGCTTTGAAATGCTGGCAGTCACTCTAAATGCTCTGTGTCTAGGGTAGAAATGCCAGTCTCCTGAGGTCCAGCTGAGTGCTCCAAGGAGGAAAAGCAAAGGAAGAAGGCTTTCTCCTTTTTCCTTGCAAGACTGAAATGTTAAAGCAAGCTAAGGTTCTTCTTGCAACTTTTATGTGGATTTTTTGGGTCTTTTCATTGTCTGACCAGTCCCTGTCACATCTATTACTTTTCTTCTCCCTTAATTGTTTCTAACAGTGTAAGCTTGTCAAGCATGTGGGACACATTGTGTGAAATAAAACTTTGCCAGCACTTTATAGCCATTTCATTCTGATGATTGGCTCTTAGGATAGAGAACTTCCCATGGCTGCTTTCCTCTTCCAATCAGCTGCTCTGCCTCTCTGTAACACTGTGGAACTTGTAGACAAGCCCACGTCCAAAGAACAGGGAAGAAATTGGTTGTGCATACTTAGCAATGTTTCCTGCCTTTGTCTCTTAAACGCAGGCCTTGGCTGTCCTTGCAGGCAGTGTGCTTCATTGTTGTGACTCTTCCAGGATACTTTTGCTTGGCCTTATCTTCTGCCTTTTCCACTGCTGCTGTTGAAGCTTTCTTCACTGAGCCCCTTTCCTAAGTAGGTTTTTTTGCTTTCTTTATAGGACAAGTTTGGAAAGAGTTTGGTGGAGGACTTCCCCAGTGACTTTGTGGTGGATCTCAACCCCACAGTGGATGGGTATGCTAATCACAAGCTCAGTATTTGTAATGTTTCTGTCACTGAGAACTGAGTTTGTCAACAAGAGCTTGTCTGTCTTTCCTTGCAGTTCGTTCTTGTTCCCAGTGAAGTCGTTGTATAATCTGGATGAAGATGAAAGTCAGGGAGCCATTGCTATTAACCTCCTACCACTGGTGTCGCAGAGCGAGCTTGGCAGAGTCACTGATGGAATGAGTAACCAAAGTAAAAGGTACTTTGACACTTAGATTTGCAGTCATCTCTCAGTTAAAGGAATTGTTTTCATTTGTTGTGCTGCCTGCCAAAGTGCCTGTTAAGGATCTGGTCAGAAAATTTACCAGTTTGCAGTGTTCTTTTCTTTCTCTTGCTGTTAGACATACTCAGGTAGGTCTAGAGGCACAAGCTGGTGGGGAACCAGCAGTCTGTTCTGGCTCAGGCTGTTTAGGTGGTTTTGAGTAAGTCATGCTGTATCTGTCTTGTTTCCCATCTGTCATATGAGAATAATAGCTCGCTCTTCCAGTGTTCTGGTGGTATTGAATGCCATATTGAGGTGAATAGGCAACTTTAAGGTGGCAAAATTAATATTTTGCGGGACAATCCTCAGAAAGTCACCAAGGACTTAGTGTGTGTCAACAGTACGTGATTTGTTCTCACCTTCAATTATACTATGACAATGTAGACTTGTGCTCCAGAGCAAAACCACAAATATGCAGCCACAAGAGAAATTTGACTGAGAAATATGGGCTTTGTCTTTGGAGACTGGAACAGGAAGCATGTAAGAAATAAAAACACCCAATTAAACAGTAAGGCATCAAAGTTAAAAATAATAAAAGGCGCTTTTTTTTAACTGGCACCTTCATATCTTGCAGAATTTATTGTCATAAGATTTTGTTGAGATTTCAGTTGTGCTTAAAGAAAGACATGATCACTTTAAAATATAGCGACTTTACATGCATCTATGGAAAAGATATTAATTTTCATCACTCAGAATGTGAGCAATCGCATGCTGCAAAACATTCAAGGTTTCTCCACTGCTTACAGCTGTCTTGTAGTTTCTTCTGAGTTACTCCACTTTGCTTCCTACCAGAAAGAAATCTGACTCTGTTTTTTGTACGTTACTGCAGTTTTTCTGTTCTTACATGCTTTTCCAGAAAACTGGTGAACACCAATTTTTAATTGCTTGTTTTAACCATATGGTCCATTTCTTCTCTGCGTTGCTGGGACTTGCAAGAAGCAAAATAGACTGCATAGGCAAAGTGGCATGGGGAGGACATAGGACATAATGGAAAAGTGATGGGCATTCTGGAGGTATATAAAACACAGGACCCACTTAATTTCTGGTGTTTTTTTTTTCCCCACAGGGTAGTGTCACCGATATGTCTGTCACCCTGTTTCCGATTGCTGAGGCTCTACACTGGAGAGCAAAACAGTGGAAGCCTGGAGGAGATTGATGCCTTACTAGGTATGGGAAAGGGACCTTTTGTAGAGTGAGTCTGTTTGGCTTATTCCTGTCCCAGACCTGCAAAGACTTGCTGCAATTGTAAGAAGAATTGTGCAGTTTGTGAAGGAGGCTGAGATGCTCTGTTGCCCACAAAGGGAGACAATTGCTTTGTCTGGGGATGGAGTGGCTGATGAGGCTTACTCCAAATAGCTATTGGAACTGCCACAGGCTTTGGTAAAAGACTTTGTCCATGCAAAGACCAAAGAGTGGGTAGCAAACTCAGTCCAACGTGTTCTCTTCCTGCTCTGTCCCAGGTTGCCCCCTGTACCTGACTGACCTGGAGGTTGAAGAGAAGCTGGACTCTCTATCCAAGCAGGAACGGGAATTTCTCTGCTCACTCCTGTTCTATGCTCTCAACTGGTTTCGTGAGGTGAGTAGTGCCTTGTCTGCAGGTTCTGGAGTGTCACTGAGGAGTAGCACTTACAAGCACTAACCCTGGGCTTCAGGGATACAGTTGTTGACGAAGAGTCTTGCCTCTTGAAAACCTTCTCCAGCAAGGTCCTGGTGGTCTCTCCGTGTTCTTCTTTCATTTATCATTTATCCTTTATCCTGCTACTAGCAGCAACTCTGCTTTCTTGGACAGAGGCTCTAGGAACTGCCTTGTTGATGTGAATTTTCCTCCTGCTACTCAGCTGCAGTCTGTACTCTGGCACATTTTGGTGTATGAAAATCAGTTTTCCTGTTGCAGGGAGGATGCTGTAAACCCCAAATATATGTCTAAACTATGAAGGGGGCATCAGAAAGAAAAGGTCAGTCTCACCATGCTGGAGAGCAGAGGAGTTGCCAGCTGGTCAAGGGCATTGGTTGTTGCCTTCTGCTTGGCATGTGTGAGGCCCTGACTGCAGTATTGTCCAGTTTGGGGCTCCTATAGTTATTCTGGAGTGAGTCCAGCAAAGGCCACCACGCTGATGAGGGGCTGGAGCACATGGTGTATGAGGGGAGGTGGGAGAGCAGAGGTTGTTCAGCCTGGAGAGGGGAAGCCAGGTGGGAGGGCACATGTTGTGGTCTTTTATATGGTCTTTGTTACCTAACTGAAAGGTTGTGCTCCACTTCCAGAGAAGCTGTGCCCTTCTTGGAGATGCTCAGTGCTCTACTAGAAAAGTCTCTAAGAAACCTGTTTAGTTAATGCTGCTTTGAGCAGGGTGTTGGACTAGAGGCTTCCACAGGTCTCTTGCAAATTTGGTTGTGATTTTGTGTTTTTTTCTGTACCTCTGTGAGCTTACAGAAGGCTGAAATGCAGTGCCTTCAAGCAGATTTGGACAATGTGTTTGCTAACATTCAATGGTCAGTGGGAATGTTCCCTGATGGGTTTATTCGGGTAACAGGAGCTATGTCAGAGTTGGTGCACATATCCCCAGTCTTCCCTGTTCCTGCTCTTCTCCCAAGACTGCCTCTTTCCTGGCAGACCTGGGAAGTACCAGGGGGTCTCCAGAGCCACAAACAGCACAGAAACCTGGCAAGGTTAACATTAGACCTGTAGGTGTTGCTCTGTTGCTTTTTGTAGATTGCACCAATTATGTCCATGTTCTCTTGGGCTTCTGAAGAACTCTGTTCATGCAGTCTGGGTCTGGTCACACAGGCCACTTGTGCTGTGTGGTGTGCTTATTCAGGACTTGAGGATCTTATTCAGAAAAGAAAAAGTAGTAAAAGTGGGTACAAATCTCCGTAAGTCAGTGAGTTTCGTTTGTATCTCGAGGTTGTAAATGCCTTCTGCCAGCAAGAGGACGCGGAGATGAAGGGGAAAGTTTTGACTCGATTACAGAACATCACAGAGCTTCAGACTGTGCTGGGAAAATGCTTGGCAGGTGAGTATGAAACATGTGTACGTTCTGGGCCTGCACCAGCCATGAAGTGAAAGGGATTGGCTTAAACATCAGTGGAGGAAGTATATAGTAACACATACTGCATTTCTACAGTGGCCTAAGAGTTCATGTGTGGACAGCTATTGTTTTCAATTTGTCTGAGTCCAAACTGCTCTTCTCAATCACCTCCTCAGTGACATCTCTTTGACTGTTCCCAGACAGACTTGGCAGAATCTGCCCGAGTATGGTGGATACTGGCGTAAACCAGCCTCTATCCTAAAGAAACAGTGTGTTTCTCCAGTATTCAAGTTGTAACAAGCTGTTAAGGGATGTTATAAGCACCTGCTGCCTCCAGTTGCTCTGGGGCCATGAATTCTTCCTGCCCAACCGCTGGAGCCCAGCGTGGAGACTCGGGGGTCTCTCTCTCAGGCTGATGGGCACAGCTACACAGGCACTGAGACTCTCACTCGCTCCAGTTGCTGGCACCTCAGGCCTGGGGTAGTCCAACTCTAGTTGCTGGCCCAGTGTTTACTCACACAGGTCTCACCAGTAGTTGACATTTAGTCCTTGCAGCGCACACACACACAGAGGATAGCAAGATTACACTGAAATATTATTAAGAAAGTACTTAATAAGAAGATAGGAGAGACTGCAGTGATCAGGCACAGAGTTCACTCAGACAAGCATACTGATTGGACATTTCTACTGACCAGTAATGCTTTACTCATGGCCAGTCCATTTTACACTGTTTCTGCCCATTCCCCTCTTTGTTCTTCCTGACCCCATTTCCCTGCACATTCCTTCACTAATTTGCATAGTTCTAACCCCCACCTACATCAGAATATCCCAAATCCTCAAGTTCTTCTTTTTCGTCCCACCTTATCAGTTACAAAGTCCAGGTATCCCTCCCCAAAGCCATGCCTGGGCTTTCTTAATGGCCCATCAATTACAAACTGGAGACTTCTGGTCTTTGACATTGTCTCTATTATCCCTTGTCTACTAGGTTTATGTCTGTCCTTGTTTATGGCTTCCCCCTTTACTTACTATTTCCTTTTACATTGAAAAGGTCTTTGATAAGATAAACATAATGAAGAATGCACTGTCACCTTCCACATACCCTTACACAAGCTATCCATTAGGAGCTGTGTTTGTAAACCAACAGACCGACTTCATCCTAAATGAAGTACAACCTCAGCACCTTTCTGGTGCTCTGAGAGCACTACAAGGCCAGCATGGAAAGGGCTCAGAGGTGCTGGAACGGCCCTTTAAGCTTTACTAACATGGACAGATGTCCAAGGACAGCTGAGTGTTTGTTATCCTCCCTTGCTGGAGGAATGCAGAGAGCTGTAATTCCAGTGCAGTGCGGACATATGATAAGGCTAATTGGAGCTAAATGCACGTAAGCAAAGCACAGAGTGACATTCACCAGGATGGTGAAATATATGGTATTTCCTCTAGATATGTATCTTGCTTATATTTTGTCATTCAGGAGCTGAACTAACCCAATTTCTACATTTTGGCTCTTTCAGCAACCCCTGGCTATGTCCCGCCACCAGCTACTTTTGATTCTGAAGCCCTGGAGGCAGTACCATCCATTAATGCTGTTGGTCCAGTGAGAAAAAGGAATGGTAACGAAAGTTTAAAACATTCAAGCAAACAGATGTGATGTGGGGTTTGACTGGCATTATTGCACTGCATCCATTGCACCTGTGTGTGCATAAAGCACAGAACTCCTGGCAAGGTCTGTCTACCTTGAAATTTTATCTCATCAACTCCTGTTGCAGCTGAAGTGGGGATGTAAAAATATTCCACTCCAAACAGGTGTTGGATAGCTTAGCATTTAACAGTGAAAATCCAGGGCTTTCATTGACTGTTTTCACCCGCCAAAGTATTTTCTGCAGCAGTAAGTTCTTCTGCCTTTGAGAGGTTGGTGCAATTGTCCAGTACTGAACCTGTGGCTTGAGCTGCCTTGCAAATCCCTGGCCTTTAGGTTGTACCTAACTGATCTCTTAGGAACCTTGTTATGGTTGTACTGCACAAGAAAAGTCTTCTTTCGTCCTTTCCCATTGCTAGCTCCCACAGAGAAGAAACTTGCCTTTCAGTTTTTCAATGTGAAGTAGATTTGCTTTGCTCTTTATGCCTCTAATTCTATTTCTAGTTCAGATTAACATTTCCTGGGAACGTGTGTGCCTTTAAGCCAAACCGGACTTGAAAAATTCACATTCCATTCAATGAAAACAACTGGAGGAGGCCACAGATCAGAGACCCCTTTTCTGCTGTGACAAACCCATTCTGCAGGGGCTGGGCCTGTCATGTAAGAGTGATTAAGGCAGAAGGAAAGTTATGACTATGTTCTGCAGACACAAAGGGGATCCATCATTTTAGATACTTTATTTTGAAGGAGCAGAAGTGCTCAGACTGGTATGCCCAGACCAGACCAAGAGATTCCTGACCTTAGCTTGTCTTGTCTCCAAAAAAATCAGTGAGTGCTGTGATCATGGGTTGCAGCCTTGAGAACACAGAGTGTTGACACCAAACTTGCTCCTCCATTGGGTCTGCAGCATCTCATTGTAGACGAGACAAATTAAACCGTTTACTGACAACAAATAGGGAAGGCTTCTCTCTCCCCCTCACACCTGCACTCTCAGCTGCCTGATTTCCTGCCCTGTATTATTACATGGTAGCTGTTTTGGCTATTTACTTCTTGTTAGGTTAGTTTTTTGCTGTTTTAGCAAGTTGACTGCTTAACCAGTGATCAGGCTTCCTGAGTCAGTGCAAGGCAAATGTCAGGTGTGTGTGTGGCTGGGAACAGGAGAAAGGTAGGAGGAGAAGCAGGACTACCCCTGAGCCATTAGATCAGCTCAAATACTGTCATAAAATCTAGCCTAGGACTATTCCTCAGAGGATAGGGAACAAGGAGCTCCTTAGGAGAGACACATCAAATTCACTTTCCCATCTGATTCAGAGGGTTTATTTATTATGTCATGGAAGATCTTCTCCTGTCTGACTCTGTTTTTCTAAAGATAATGCAATAAAAGATGCAACTTAATTGATATTGTTTCACTTTATGGCCTGGCCCCCAGAAAGGATCACAGAGGTACAAAAGCAGAAGTCTCTGATGCTCATCAGCACAGCAGTTATAAAATGGCAGATGAAAGTGTATGCCAAACTTCACTCTTGTTGGGGATTTCCTTGAGCATTCCCTTCTCCAGGTTGCTTATGAAGCTGAGTACAACCAATTCCTGAAGGACTCAATGGCTGATTCCATCTGAAAGTTGTACATTAAGTATTATCCTTTGCTTCTCCTCTAACAAGCTTTCAGTCCAAGAAAGTGCTATTCCAGTTCAGTTTCTTAGCGTTTCTGATGTAAAACCTTGTCAAAGTCTTTCTGGAAATCTAAATCTCTTCTGGCTGATACATCCCTTTTATCCACATGATACCGACACCCTGGCAGGCTAGTGAGGCAAGGTTTTCCTTTGCAGAAGCCTTGCTGACTGTTCCCCAACAGACTGTATGTCTGTATGCTCAGTGATCTAATTTTTTATTGTAGACAACTGCTGTTTTCCCAGTGATGGAGGACAGATTCACTGGTCTTTAATTCCCTGGATTCCCATTAGATCCCTTTTTATTAAGAGGAATTATATTGGCAAGCTATCAGTCCTCTGGCACTGTGGGCAGCAGTTCTGAAATGTTGCATTTCAGTCCCTTTAGGGACCTTGTGTGAATGTCACCTCACCCTGGTGGCTTATTGGCTGGCTGTTTGGTCTAATACATCCTGTGCAATTACTTGAAATCAATGTAGTTTCTTTAATCTCTCCACTACATAGTGTGTCAAGTCCCTACTGTCAGGTCAGAATCTCCCTACCATTGTCAGCAGTGAAGACAGTTGCAATTAATTCATTGTGTTACTCTGCTGTTGGCTTGGCATCCCTGCAAGTCCCTTCTACAGTTGTGTCTTATCTTCCTTTTCCAGGTCCTCTTCCTTTCTCAATACTGTGTCTGAGTAAGAAACATTAAGTTTTGGTTCAAGCATTTTGTAAGATGATGTCCCACTCATTTTTGCAATCACTTCATAATGTTTAAACTACACTAAGAACAGTGAGACTCACTTTAATTTTTTACTGCAATTTTATAGAAGAGAAGCTGGTTGTGGGGGATCCCCAAATCCATTTGACTCTCTCTTGGACCGTGGTCGTGGCTATGGATGACACACAACCTGTGCATGCTCCATGCTTTCTTAGGGCCGATTAAAGTACAACCTGTGCTGTTTCCCTGTATGCAAGGGCTGTATAGTGTTGAGCGCAGTGTAGCCTTTGTTTCTGAAGTTGCTTTTTTCTTTAAGGCAGGAAAAAAAAGGCTGATGGCAGCAAAGCCTGCTCTGCAGATCGTTCTCAAGCAGATGACAGTTCTGAGGGAAACCAGCCTGATACTGAGCTCTCTGAGCTGGAGAAGGTAGGTGTATGCTCCTGGGCACTCGCAAGAAAGACAGACTAGGGGAGATGACATAGAAGCATAAACAAAAGCTTTGAGAGGGATTGTTAATTTCAAAAGTTAATCACAGTCCAGTGGTTCAATTCTGCTTTCTGTCACCTGCCTTACTTCTGAATTTTGAAAATTATCTGCTGCAGAGACCAGCCACTCTTCAACAGGCAGTGTGGTTCAGGGCAGAGCAAATGTGCAGGATTATCAATAACATCATTAGTTACTCTCTGGTTAAGACTATGGAAGGTTTCTGTTTTAAGCCAGCACCCCATCTCTCAAATTACTGCAATAACCTGCCATTCCTAGACTCAGGTCAGAAATTGTTAGGTGAATCTGGAAAATATAGACCCTGGTAAAGACCGTATCTCCCACTGATTCTAGCAGGCTTCAGTCACAGGTGCTCATTTTGCAAATTTCCCTTCAGGTATTTAATCAATGTATTTGTGATAAGGCATCTTTAAAATTATCCATTTCGTCACATGCTAAGAACTACTTCCCAAACCTATCAACTAACTAATTATTAGATTTTGTTTCCTGTTCTTTTGAACACGCTCTTAACACTATTATCATCACGTCTGGAATGCAAGATCTGTGCTGGCTGAAAGAAAGAAGCCAGGGAAGTGTGCCCAGCTTTGGGCTCAGCATCCCACAAGGCCCCACTTCTATCACTGTTGCTAATAACTGTTTTTCAGAGTACATTTAATCAATTTCCCAATGTAAATATGCTTCTCCTACTTCCCTACTATTGTACAGATATGTAACAGAGTCAGATATGATAACAAAGTTACTTAAGTACCAGGGAATAAGCAAAGCCTCAAATAGTTTTGGAAAGGAATGTACCTAATCTATCTTACTTAACTAGGGCACTGGTCCTGGACAAATCCTTAGGTGCCGTGCCCTGCCCAGGATGACTGAATACAGAAATCCTGTTGAAAGCCACATGTAACGTACATTGGCTCCCATGACAGGGTTGTGTGGAGCAAATCTCTTAAGAACTTACAGATTGTCACCCAGAGACAACAGAGCATCCCATAGTTTACCATCCTGGTACTTATCAAAGATAAAACCATTTGCCTTCATCTCTTATGGTGCTTATGGTGCTTGGTCATTCACCAAGTCCAGAATGGGTTTCACAATGGCCACTGGTTCACAGAAAGGGGATAGCAAAGGTTAGTCCAGTTTCCTAAGGTATTTTTTTCTAGAAAAAATCTAGCGACTTGTACAGTCCAAAATGAAAATGCTTCTATGTGCTTGTCTCTCTACTAGTTGTTGTGAATTCTTCCTAGTCTTTTTTCAACTTGGCACAAAATACAGAAATCTGTGTGAAAAAAATAGCTTTATTTGAGCTAGAAGGTCTTATAATCTTGCAGGTTGCAACCTCAGTTCTGCCATTTACTTTTCAGACTACCGCTGAGAGAGAGGCAGGTAATCCTCTGGCACAACTGCAGAGTTACCGCCCGTACTTCCGAGAGTTAGACCTCGAAGTGTTCACCGTACTGCACTGTGGGTTGCTGACAAAGTCTGTCTTGGACACAGAGATGCATACAGAGGTGAAGGGAACAGCGTAAAACTATACTGATCAGGCTTTGTGTAACTGCCTGTCTTGGAGGCCTTGCCTCCTTCTGCTCCATTAAAATGAAGAGAAGACTGATGTTAAGATGTGTTGGTCCTGGGCTGTGAGCTAAGTGCCGGGAGAGAATTTGCCCTCACAGAAACCAAAGTGCTTCAGGGCACTGAGATAAAGAGGACTTGCCTGAGAACAGCAAACAGCAATGTTAAAAACCAAAGTAATATAAATGTTGCGTAAAAGGAAAAAAGATACAGTATGACGTGTATAGACCTAATGGAAACAAAGGAGCTTTAATGCTGAACACTACCTGCTGTAGGATGTTAAATACACTAAGGCAGCTTGCCTATTGTAAAAGAACCTATGACATTTAAGTAAAGTCCGTATTGCAAATAGTCAAGTGTCTCAAGGCATCAGCAGATTGGAAACTCAGCACAAATGTGGGACTGGTGTCGTGGATGTGCCCTCAGTGGGCAGGGTCCTGTTTATCATCTTGGAACTTATCTAAAACTCCATTACTATGGATGTAGAAAGCAGAAGTGCTTAATTTTGTTACCCTCTTTGTAGGCAGGCTGAGACCATCTGGAGCCTAATTTTGTTAGGCTACAGTAAGATTAGTAAAATGTGAAATGGCCATGGCAGGCTGGAGTCCAGCCTGGCCTGCTCCAAGGACAACTGTCTCTGTGCATGCAGGTCACAGGCCAGCTGGAAGACTGACAAGTCTCTTGGGCTGTGTGGCATTATTTTGCATTACTTCTTGACTATTACTCAATTGGTGAATTTTGTGACTCTGGGCCTAAACCTCTTTTTATCCTTAGGTGCTTATTTTCAATGTCAATGTATATAAATCAGTTTTCTCCCAGTAGTTAAGTGTTATTGACACTGCCTCAGCTATGTTCAGAGCACCAGGTTTGCTTCATGCTTTGAGTAACCAGAACCAATGCCCCATACCTGCTGTGGCGGAGACATAAAACCCTAGCATCTACCAAGCAGGTCCCTGGCTGAGGTTAACTAAGCCAGGAGTCATAACTGGAAATAGAGGGGGAGAACCTGAGCTTCAAGGCACTACAATTACATGCTGGGTCCTGGGACTGACTGTTCTTGTAATTGCAGGCTC